CGGGGCCAACGTAGCGCCCCTCTTCGTTGAGGTGTAAATGGGCGTCCTCCCCCGCCCCACCTCCACCTCCACCTCTTCGTAGGCGTCGTCGTCGACGCCCACCTTCCCCTTGCCTCTATCGGCCCTCTTGCTGGCCGAGGCTAAAGGGGAACCAGCCCTCTTCCCTCCCTTTCGGAGCAGCGGCTCCTCTTCTTCTTCCTCAGCGGAGTTGACCTCTTGCTCCGCGGGGTCGGAATTAGGCGCCCCCTCGCCCTCCTCCGGGGCAGAAGACGCCACGCTGGCAGTCTTCGCACGGGCGGTGCCCCCCTTCACGGCCCTCTTCTTCTTCTTCTTCTTCGGGGGAACACTAGGCGCCCCCGATTGGTCGGCGGCCGGTCCGGGCGCCTCTGGTTGAACCGGCGGCTGTGAACCTGCTGCCAGCGCAGCAAGCCGACTTCTCATCAGCTTGGCGATACTGGCGTAGTCCGCCCCTGCGCAATGGAGAGAACGTGGTTAGTTAGAACACAAGGGAAACACAACATCAAAAGCAAGTAAATCCTAGGCGCCTACAGACCATCATTATAGTACGCCTGAATTATGGGAGGACGATTCTCCGCTGGACGTAAGTCCACACTTTCCCCCGCACAAATCAGGCGGGCGCCATCTTTCTCCGCCCGAGACAATGACACGGGCGAATTGAATCGCTCAACATTGCCCAACTGCCACTGCCTAAGAAAGGCGCCCCCACTCTCGTAAAACGAATCTTGATACGCCTTCATAAAAAAGAAGCCGTTGAACCATTTTCGGTTGAGCTTGGGGCATCGTTTCACGAAATGGTTCGGGCGCTTCTTCCGCTTCTGAAGCGATAAACAGTTGTCGAGGGGCGTCATCTTGAAAAAGTACCTAAACAAATTGAAGGTGGTCTCCACGTTATTCTCCCGACACCTCAACTTGAAGAGGATCACGATAGTAATGACGGAGGGGGATAGGCGCCCCAATGAACAGCCACAAGTTGTCAGAATCCCCTCCATGATGTGGTCGAGGGGGAAATGCAGCCCAAACCGGAAGTACTCCTGGTACACCCCGATCCATTTGGGCCCGCAGACGCCCACACGTGAGATAGGTGAAGGAGGCGCATACCACCAGTCCCGCGGCAGCTGCAGACTTGTAATAAGCTCGTGGCTGATGACTGATGATTCGGCCCGGCCACATCGAAAGGCAAATGGGCCGTCTCCGTCGGTAGGTGGTCCGGGGGGAAGCACTTCTCCCAGGTTGTGATTTTATAAGATCCATCCGCTGGCATAAATCCGGGCGCCGATGATGTGGATGGTCCGGCCGACGTCGATGCAGGCGCCCCCTCTAAACCAACAAACGATCCAGGCGCAACGGGGACGCGGGGTAAGTGGCGCCCTATCCTAAGTAACTAAAATTAACTAAGCAAAACTAAGGAAAGACAAAGGATTTCTTACCGCCTTGAGTCGGACGCCTTGGCCCGCCACCGACGCCAGAGGCGCCTGCGCCTGAAGCACCAGACGCACCTGCATCCTGGGCGCCTTGATCGGCAGTTTTGTCTTTTGGTGAGGACGACATGATGGACGAATACGAGAGTCGAGGATGACGCAAGCAAAGTCTGACAGGAGAGAGGACAGAGCGAAGCGTAGAGAGATGTCAGAACAAAATCTAGAGAGAGGTCAAATGGAAGAAAGTGACAAGAAGGGAAGAAGGAGGAGGTATTTATAGGGGGTGACAAGTCCAGGTCAAGGGTCGCGCCAACATGCCACGTGTCAGTGCCACGGGCCGACTTTTGAGCTTCCCCCACTTTCCCCTCCCCGGAACTTTCGAAATTTCCCATTTCGAATTTTTTCAATCTTCGTATTCGAAATTTCGAATTTTCCCGCCACGCGAAATGTGGGGTCCATTTCAAAACTCTCCCCGTGAGGGGGGCATAAGGGCAAGGGACGCCCGAACGGAGAGTACCATCAAAAGGCGCCTACGAAGCACGAAGAAGAAATGCACATAGCAAGGGGCATCATCGAGAAAGGGACACCCGCCAGTGGAAGGAATGAGCAACAGCGCCTCCGAGCTGGAAGAAGAGGCAGAGACGCAACATGGGCGCCCGGCAGTACTGAGTTAACTAAAGCGCCGCATGTCGCGCCCATATTGGGCAAAGCGCCCTAACATTGCTAGGCGCTCGCCCCACAACATGAGGAACACCAAAACCGCAGCAAGAGAGTCAGCTAGGCGCTCAAAGGTGAAACCATGAGCACCTAACTGGGGGGGCAATTGTTGGGGGTAGTACGAGCGGTTTTGTGGACTTGGGCTCCCAGAGTTAAGGAATTGGGGGGCAAGGCCCGAAAAAGGATCCACCAGAAACCCTTGGGCCCAGATAAGGGGAAGGGCCCAAAGGATAAAGCACTAAAAGCCAAATGAAACCAGCTGTCAGGGGGACCATTGCCTGCGGGCGCCTATCGTGTGTCAGGAGCCTGACAAGGCTGTTGGATGTCTCACTATGGGGACGCAGAGCATTAAATGAGGGCAGTGACGTGGAGGAGATCAACCTCGGGTTCGGTGAGTATAAATAGGGGCAGTTGATAGCATTTATACAGGTTGGACTCTCTCTCACTAAAACACTACTTGAGAACTCTATTCACTCTGAGAAGCTAACTTGGGCGTCGCAGGATTAACGGGCCGAGGCGCCCTCCTCTTTGTGTGTGTAGGTCGACGCCAGGCGAAGAGAGACGCCCGAACAGAGAAGGGGGTATAGTGGCTCAAACAGGTATTGATATTTTTCAAAGTGGTAGTGGTTGTCTAATGAATTGTTAGTGAATAGTGATTTCGTGTTTTTTTCTTTTGCAGAAAGATTGAGAAAAATAAGGAAAGGGGATCTGGCTGGAGATTATGGAAGTGAGAGAAAGAAAGAGAATTGTAATTAATAGATTTTTGTAACTATCTAAAATGTAATTTATTAAACAAATTAATTAATACAATTTATTTTCATACCCAATTTACCCTTAGTAATCACCGTAACCTGTCCCGTCCAATGCGGGTTGTGTCTAATGGGAGAGGAAACAATCCCAGCTTAGAGGAACCGTATTAGGACTATATTCTAGAGTGCAGAAATTTTGGAGAGCTAGTTGTTTCGAATTTTCTACTATGTTGGGTGTTCAATGGTTGTTTCAGATTTTGTTCTAATGGTTTGGTAAAGATGGCAATTTCAAACTCGCCCGTGAGTATAATTCGACATGATTCGCGATGAGGCGGTTATTATCCAATTCGCAGTAGTATGAGGCAGAAAATGAGTATCTACTTTTGACTTGTGTTGCCTCACCCCGCCATGTACTTAGTCCATTCTATGTCAATTTCTTACAAACCATCTCCTTCACTTGCTCATCCAGATTTGTAGGCTCAATCTTGGCCTGGCAAACCTCACAGTACAGGGCCTCACTTTATTATCATAACACTTGTATTTGTCTTATGAACTTCTGAGTTCTTATGGACCAAAACAAATTCATTTGAAAAAAAAATAACTTGATTAAACTAATGCATCAACGAGCCTAACTTTCCTTTAATTAGTATTATTATGAGGGGGTGGCTTTTATGGAATAAACCAAATTTGTTAGTAGGAAAAAAAGTTAATTAAATTAATGCACGAGAAGCCCAACACTCATTTTATTAGTCCTATGGACGGCTCAAATAATTCACCGATCATTATTATTTTTTTTTTTTTTCAAATTCAATAGTTGAAACGAAAGTCACAGAGAGGAAGAAAGAAAAGCGCGAGAGTCGACCAATAGTCGAACTCTTGATGAGAGGGCCTTTTACGCCACATGATGGGCAACCCTAATGAGTTGGCGAGAAACAAACCACTAAGAAGCTTGAAGTTAAGCTCCTAGCATCCTCCAAAATAGCTCCACCCCAATCATGATGCAAATCACCTCCAACCATCCGCCGAATCAAGAGTTGATAGTCCCCATGAAAATTAACACAAGAAAGGAATGAGTTAGACACCACTGTAAGGCATCACATAAAGCTAAACATTCCATTATAAATGGATCCTGGATCAGTGGATCCCATCATAATATTTTCCAAAGGAAAACAGAACATTACCTATCTCAAGAGAGCCTACAAAGTCGATACTACCTCCTTGACCACGCTTGACCGCACCATCAAACCATACATTGATTATGGCCAAGGAGATTCCCGATGAAAGGATCTGGTTTGCCACAAGATGAGTAGCCCTATGAGAAGCTACAGAAACCGCAACCTTTCCTTTGAGAAAGCCATAAAGCACCATCAGTAGCCAGAAGTGACCTGCAAAACAAGAAAACTAATAGGCAATCCAAAAGGATCTTGGGACTGTCGTTTGATCATCCTCACCATAAACTCCACCATATTGATATGCTCCACAACGGAGAGGGCCGTCACCGGCAGAACACAATGCCGTAGGCCATTATCGGCCAGTAAGCACGAATCAAAATTCGTGTCCTACTCATAAAGATGAGACTAACTTTTTCTTTTTTAGAAGACAATTTTTGAAAAATATGCCATAGTTATAGAGAATAGGAATGAAAAGCTTTGGAAAAAAAATAATGATGAATAATTATAAAGGAAAATAAATAAATAATAGTAATAATTAATAAAGGATAGAGAACTTATCTGAATAATGGTAATAATAAACAATATTCACCCATCATTACTATGTATTTTATCTTTTATTTATTAAATTTAGTTAAAAAAGTTGGACGACCCTGCAGATTTTGAGGAGCTCCTTTGTTTCATTTCCCGATTAATGCTTTATGCTTCTTTATATACAAACTTGAGCACAAGTTTGGTATCATATGGAGGGTGTTGTAATAACTGAGAATTGGTTTATTGAATTGTAATTGTGTAGGAGGACTAATTTATATATAAGTAGGCTATGAAAGTGATAGAGGGTTAAGGAATAACAAGAGCATTTTAAATTTGAGAATTGAACTATGTATTTACGCCATTTAGCGTGTATTCAAATTAAACTTGCATTTTCATTGAAACCGTGAAAATTCAAAATATAATAGTTTAAATAACTGTAACAATCAACCAATGCACAAACTCTTGCTTTGTGCTTCATTGATCTTTTATCGTGTAGTGTTGACATTCTCCGGCCAGCCGGGCACAAACAACTCATAGCCCATAACAAGGGTTTTTTTTTATGCAAGCCAACAAAAAGAAGAAGAAAAGAAAATTAAAATAAAAAAAGAGTTACAAACCAAACATGTAGTCAACAACCAGAAACATATTGCAAACGACCATCTTTTTTTCTCTCTACTACATATAAAATTTCGACTGTATCGATAATGGTACAATAATGACGAGCTCTTGATTTTTTTTTATGAAAACTGGATCAACCCAATAAGTCCCTCGAGTATTTATCCAGCAGTTCTGTAACTAGAACCCTGTAAGTCTTCTCAGTAGGATGGTAACTGTCCCAAAATACATGTGCATTGACATTGGGACAAGGTGGAGTGAACTTGTTGCACAGTATAGCCACCTCGACTGCTCCCGTTCCACAACATCCTTTCTCCGAAATCTCGAACCCTAGAAAACAAACCAATGTGTTAAAAACATACCAATGGAGCTTCGAAACGTTACGGGCAATATGATTAATGAAGTATTTTCACTACCGTATTTTGTAGGGGTTTGAATGATTTGTAACAAGGGAGAGTAGACATCAATGTAGACGACTCTCGAATTGGGTAACATCTGGTGAAGAGAGTCCAACTTTGATTTCAACTTGGAGTTGAAAAGAATGGCGGCTTGGTTACTGTTATCGGCGCAGACCCTCATAGGCCCACCGCCGGCAGTCCTTTGCGACGGCACGCACCCGATCGGCGGCGCGCTGAACACCCCAATCTTCCTGGCCCCTAACTTGTATATTTCCTGTCGTGGAAGCACAAAAAGGTGGATTTAATAGCAAGATTTCGTGAACACACAGAAGAAGAAAAAAAATCATGTTCGTTATAAAATTTACCTGAACAAAATTCGAAGCAGAATCGGACATGAGGTCGGTATAACCGGGAATATCGTAGTTGCTCCTCGCTCGAAGAGTGAAGTATGTGTTTGCGATATCGTCACTTCCGGCAACCACTAGATACAAGGCGTTACCTATGATGAAGTTTGCCCTCTCTTCCCCAACAATGGATTTCACCTTGGCTATGTATTCTTGGAAGTATTGGAGTTGTTGGCTCAGTGACACAACTGCCTGTATCGTTAGGAACGTAGGAGATTAGACAACATGAAAACTTGTTACCAAATCAACTATTTAGCATTAGAAGGAGAAAAAAAAAAGTATGGGCTTTAAGTACCACTAGTTTTGCGGTTATAGGGTCGAATCCAGCGCCTCCGGAAGCGAAGGTGACTCCAGTTAATAGATCTTTGGGCTGGAGACTTGGGTCCAAATATGGAGGAACGCTGCCTTTGATTCCCAATTGTTCAGCTGTTTGTTCGCCAAAAAAAAAATTCCAAAAACAATTAAGTATTTACTATTTTCAGCCTATTAAAATCAGAATAAGAAAATATATAAATTTTGCATATAAAATGAAGGGAAAAAAAGATAGAAGAAAAGAAACTTGAAAGATTGTGATTTGTGAGGCCTGGGTATATGGGCCAAGATGTTGAAGCCTGATGAGAGTGAAATAAAATGTGGGCCAAATGAAAATTGATGGCCCTAATATAAAAATAAATGGTGTTCAGGTCCACCAGACAGAGCGGCCTGCACCACTGAGGCAATTGGGCCACCCCTTCTGAGCGTGTGGGTCAACATGAAATTTAATATTGGGCCCCGACTATTCAGGGCAGTGTCGCCTTCCTATGCAGGCTGTCCACAGTCCACAATCTTTACCCAATTTACCCGAATTTACTTCTCCGATCTAACCATCCACATAGATAAAAAAAAATATTTTCTAAGTATGTATAGAATTCCAATTATCCATCCATCCATTTTAGTAATCCCAAAGTGTGAATATTCTTTATCGATACAGGGTAATAATTTGAACAATTCGACCACAGGGTCACGCCATAAAACATCATTTTACAAGGACTTAAGGTGTTTCGTCGATATATTTGTGGGACACTATTAATTTCAAGTAAAAATAAGATAAAACTGTTGATTATAAATAGTATACTATAAGCAATCCCAACTTCGAACTAAGTACGTCATATTGAAATGAATCGTCCGAACTTTGTGCTTTTAAACTACAAACTTCCCAACTCGATCGACAGAGATGAATTAATCAAAGTTATGCTCTAATTAAGTTCCCAAAAACATGTTCACAAGACCATTAATTAAGGCAAGTTCAAATGTAACAAAAGTCTCTAGTGGATCCCACTCTCAATTACGACGACGAAGGCTGGACCCATGAAGGAAATAAAGTTTTTTTCTATATAAAGGGTTCAATAGGTATCCAAACAATACATTAAAAGAAACGGCATGGGAAAGAAACGAGTTCTTCATTATTACTTTCAAGTGTGTCATACATATACTACCCTTAGCATTAAAAACTTGAGACCAATCGAGGCTTCCAAAATAACAAACTCAGATCAAATTTGACACTATCGATTACTATTGTTGACGGAATAAAAAAGAGAGAAATTAACATAGTTAGTAAAATAAATAAATAATAGTAAAATTAATAATTTAATTCATTAAGTACGGATATTAAACATGATATACGGGTTTCTACGTGTTTAATACGGGAGTCATCAAATGAATGGATAAAAAAGAAACGGCTTGACAATAATACGGATACGAAAGTTTTAAACGGATAAAGTACGTACGGGGATATATACGTGTATTAAACGGAGTATTTAGTAACTATGGAAATTAAAGGAGGGTGATTGTATGTATACCGATGATATCGGAGGGAATCTTGCCGTCGCAGAACCTGCCGGTGGGGCCGCCGTTAAAATCCACGCCGTAGGGCTGGAAGTTGCACTTGATGATGGTGGCCAGGTTGTTGTTGTTCCCGGTGTCCATGATGGAGTCGCCGAATATGAGGATCGCCGGCACGGTGGCGTTCGTCGCCCTCGACGCCGCAGCTCCACTAACGGCGACGCTTATTAGCAACGCCGTCAGGAACAGCAACGGCGCCAAGGAGGAAGACGGAGCAGAAAGAGGTCGACCCATTTTGTGCTATTTTTTTCTTTTCGTCGCTATATATATATTGATTGCTTTTAGCGACCACGGAAACGACCTTTCGAGACGAAAGCGTGAGCGTTTGTTTGAGAATGTTGTGTTGCATCTCGATTTATATACGTAGATTATATAGTGCGTGGGGAAAGAGGAAATGTATGGGCAAAAAGGAATAGAGAAATGGGAAGGGAGACGGCGAGCTGGACATTTAGTAATTATGGCAGTAGTAGTAGGTTTGGTGTTGGTGTCGGGCAAGAAAATATTGATGGCCTGATTTCCATCCCAAAAAAGAAACAATGTGCGCAAGACAATCGGCAACATATATGTTGTATATATTTTATGGAAATTCATTTTTCGACTACCAATATGATATGTTGGTGTTCAAAATATATATATAATATTATTTTTACACAGAAAAATTAGATTTATCACTTTTTAAAATGAGAAACTTATTTTGATATATTCTAAAACAAAATTTTGAGGCAGATATTATCAGTCTATACCATGTTGATAATTTTTGGTAGTATGTAAGATTATATCGTGGTTGTATTAAAATGGACCATGGTAGTGTATGAATATATTATAGTATATAATAGTTATATATAATGATAATAAAAAATATACTAATTATCGTCTATCACTTTTCATCACTAACGACCATCATTTGATTTACTATCCTATACCAGGATGGTAATCGTGAAATTTTTTTGCTGGAAATTTGTAGATCACAATCGACCCATTCCTTCTATGTCAAATTTGAGTTAAAAACGAAAGTGGTGCCAGATGATAATGGGTGGTACGAAATCTTTCTTCAAAATATATCGAATTTGGATAACATTTTGTAGATTATAATAAACTCGTCAATTTGTAAACAAAAAATTCAATTTGGGACCTATCTTCTTCTTAGATAGGTTCGTGGATGTGGCGAAAGCTTTTGACTATTCGCGGCTGGTTCCAATTTCGGTTTGCTACTACTGCAGCTGGTGAGGTAACTTGGGAAGGAAAAGTGATGACACGATTCTCTATCCAGCAGGTTTGGAATTCTATACGACCCAAAAAACTGAAAGTTGAATAGTGGCAAGTGATTTGAATAAATGTGTGATTCCAAAGAATAGAGTTATTGTGTGGTTGATAATTCTGAACAAAATCACTATCCTAGATAAGTTGAAACAATGGGGGAAAGTGACTGATGCGATGTGTGTTATGTGACAGTGAGGAGGAAAGCAGAACACATCTGTTCTGCAAGTGTTCTTTTTCCTTGCAGATTTTGCACCCATTTTTGGCTCGAGTCTCTGGCCAAGCTCGTGGGAGAGTTTATTACAGTGGATATGCAGAATTGTAAAGAATGGAGCTAAAGGGCTGGTACAGGGTGCTATGTGGTGCTGGTGTCTCAGTATTATTTGGAAGGAGCGTTGCACTCGTATATATCAAGGCAGCAAAAGAGAGTCCAGATTGCTCCTGCAACAGTTAGTTGATGATTTTAACTACTATACTATGGAAACGTTTGCTTTCCTTGCAGAAGTTAGGTTGATTCCTCATTTCAGCTGTCTATTAACTTTTTGATAGCTAGCTTAGTTGATTCTAGTTTACTTTTGTAAATGGATCAGTGGAGCAGGTCTGTTGCTCCTAAGTTTTTGTGGATCCTGGATTTTCCAGGCGGTTCTTAATGCAAAGGTTGATAATTACCGGGGAAAAAAATTCAAATGTCACATTGTTGCAGGTCATTTAAAAAAAATAGTAATATATAAAAAATATATTAATATCATTCTTTACATATGATGTCACTCAGAAATCCATGAAACAAACATATTTGATTATATGCACGAAATGTTATACAACCCTATCTACCAAAACCCCAAAATTTTATCACATGTTGCCACTATTTAAAAACAAAACTTTACACCCTCTAATCCCTCTAAAATCATACTCATAAAGAGTACTCTACCATACAATGATACAAACCCACCGTCACCATCGGAGAAACCTGTCGAAAAACACGTTACTGATGTCCAACATAGTTGTAAGACTTGCAATTGCACTAAAACCAAATAATTAATCATTGTCGACGTGAAGTGACAACTAGCTTGGGTTTGAGGGTATCTGTCTCTTTGTAGATCACATTTATTCCAGTTAGGGAAGTGTTGAAGACGGTTGGAAAGTTAATTGGAAACCCTACTGAAAAACCGTGAAAGTAATAAGTTACAAGAAGATTCTTAACTTTTTTTTTTTTTCTCTCAAGCAATTTTACTGGTGAAAGATAATTAGATGCCTTATTTGTGCGTTGGATTGGAGTAGTGGATTTGACATCCAAAATTCAATATATATTAATTTAATTGACAAATCTCAATTATGCATCAAATACGTGCTTTTATGAATTAAAAAGAAAAAATCGTTTCAAATTGACGAGTCTGACGAATTTAGAAAAGCAAACCTCAATATGTGAGTATTGATAAATCTTTTATTTTTATATTTTTTTTGGAATCTTGTATAGATTAAAAAGTGATCGAACACATTACACCTTGGTATACAACTAGGACACAAAAGCAAAAGAGCGACACGTAGTCGGGTACAAAGAAAGAACATTTCTAGCCACCAAGTGGGCTACCCTATTGCTATTCCGACCTACAAATTGTACATGAAGACCATTATGATTTGCCAACAAACAAAGAACTTCATTGAGAATGACTCTAGAGTGATCATCTTGTTTATCGGCCTGGTTTGTCTTATCAATGACCACATTCACGTCCCCTTCAAAACGAACCTGCAAGAGGCCACAATCCAGACACCACTGGATGACCTCATGGAGGACTAATATTTCTACCATTGGTGGACCATCAATATAATCGAAATGTACTCCCCTAGCTAAGACAACCGAACCACTCCAATATTTAATCACCATTCCTCCCGTTGAGTATGATCCATTCCTTATTGTCCCCGTCCCACATGCAAGTGATCGAGAATCCGAGATAAGGTTTGAACCACTCGCGCTCTCAATCTGGGGGAGCTAAGGTCACGCTGTCAGTTGATAAACCGATCCATTCATTTTTTTTATTATATAATTTTACTATAATTTAAAAATTAAAAAATCAAATTCTGAACCCAAATTCAACATCCAAACAACAACATAAATTAATTCAAAATTTTCTAATACATCAACAATTCTACGAAGGTTCATTTTTTCAAATAAAACTGTTAACTGTATTATTAACAATCCCTTAATATCCAACCCATCCTTCTATATGTTATCTACTTAATTACCTGCTAAGTACTCTGTAATCTATAATTTTGTCAACTTAATTGATATTTGATACTATCTATCTATCTATCTTCCTTACTTCACCGGCAATCTAGATTCTAGAATACGTACGTAAAAACATTTACGTGTGCCCTTTTGCTACGATGGATCACTTTATCTTGTGGCGAACCAAGTGATTTCCCTCTTTGACATGCTTTATATATCAAGCATTCATTTCCCTACTCCAATACATTTACTACCGAAGTTACTAAGAAGGAAAATTATGAAAGAACCATATAGTGAGTAAAGTCTGAGAGAAGGAATAGATCAATCGAGTTATGAATTATGACACTACACTAATATATAGTTGCATGCATTACTTCGTTGACAACGGGTAGGCGTACCGCGAATCCCACATCGACAAAGAATGAGAGACCTATAGTTCATAAATAAAAAATCTAGTTTAACTCACAAGACGCATATTGGAGTGAAATGGAATAGTTCGTGTCAGAACTCAGAAGTTTAACGTACGTACTCATTTTGAGAAGTTGGATGACCTCTCTAAAAATCCCTTTAATATTCACCATAACACAAAAAAGTATTAGAGTATAGCCCGAAAGCTACGGACAATATTTTGTCGAAAAAATATTCGACACTTTACAGAAATGCCAAAATTGAAAAGACGGTTTTACTCGTATAAATTCGGTCGAACAGACAGCTAGCTATATATTTTAAAGACAAATGTCCCAGTTGCATACTTGCATGCGTTGTATACAAGTAGAAGAGTTCCAATGGTAATATTTAATTTTACATACCTACCCTGCGTCATTATCATAATCTGCTCGCCTCTATCGCCCATAAGGCCATAAACTCATTGCAATAATATTTATTTTCTTACAGCCGCAGTTACCGACCGATACCAACCTAGCTTCTCTCTCTCTCTTTTTCGGTACCATTATTCACCTTAAACAACCAACACAAACGTAATTAGTTTGTTCATTTTGTAGGCGTTTACCTTTCGACGAGTCCTTTTATTACCCATGTCGTTCAGCTGCTTATACGGAGCGTGAGTCGCTATGTCAGATCTACAAGATTTGACTTTCTTTTGTGGCTTTCGGGCCTCTAAGTTTGCTCATTTTGCAGGTAAAGATGCTCATTGGGAGTGTCAATCTTCATGATACAAGGATTTGCTTTCCTGCTTCAATTTTCAGCATGGTTAGTTTATGATTTTGATCCTTTAAAGAAAGAAATCATGATATTGCTCATGCCGTTCAGGTATCATAGGGCAGCCCATACGTAGCAGGAAAGCTCTATTTTATCAGACCTGCAAAGGTCTTCTCATTTTTCATTTGTGATTTGACCTGCAAAAATCATGTATATTATTATATACTTCGTATCTACTGTTCTGTATGGAGATATATATGAAAAAAAAAACACAAACGTAATTAATTACCTCAAATACTCAAATGAGCTTTTCATACAGAAGCTTCTGGTGTCCCCCTAGTCTTTCCAATCCATCTTCTGTTTGTCCCTAACTTCGAATCTAAAGTATAATAGATATTTTTATCTCCACAATATCATAAGTCAACCTCTTGAAATTTTGTACGTTCCTTTTCTATCAACCTTAATCAATAGAATTTTATAATACGCATTTCTTAATCCTACAACCCACAAACCACCCTAAACATATATATATATACACCATAGAGTGTAAGTTGTGTCACAGACATTGCTAAAAAAATGCTCGTTTAATCTTATGCTTAGGCGCTAGGCAAAGTCAAAACGCCTTGCCTAGGGGTTCACAACAAAGTTAAGACTGTCGAAAGCTATCGCGCAAATCGGCCACACCTAGGTGCAACTGGGTAGAGCTGGACAATCAAGAACTTCATGAACAGTTGACCTATGACACTACGGGAAAATTGACTTTTGGCAACACTTGTCCTGAAACACTTTTTATGAGTGTCACGTAAAATAAAAATATGCAATACTTCCATCCTATGTTGCTTAAT